GGTCACGAAACAATCTAATGCCACTAACTTGTTTATTTATTGCTGCCGTTCTAAATGTTTCTTGTTACCTACTGTTAATTATAAACTTAACACTGTTGTGCTAACTTATGGATTTGCTAAGATTGGTATTGCGGAGGGTTGTTGTAAGTAATCATTTAATAATAATATTGTAGGTAAAGAAGGAACTTAAGTTACCTTTGTTATAATAAGGATTATTCAGCACAACTCTTTTTGGAAAAAAAAATATTTCAAACGCACCAAAATCTGAGAAATAACTTAAAAAAATAATTTATTCACTGTAGTTACAATGCTTAATACTTTATCGTAAAATTTAAAATAAAACAGTTTCAAAACAAACTATGTTAATCTATTTATTTTAAACTTTGTCACTTGTTTTTATTGTAAAAAAAAAACAAATTACATAACTCCAAACAATAACTAACATGTGTATAGTGTAAAAATTGTGCAAAAAAAAAGTATTTCTAAGTCAGTTTTAAGTAACTAAAATAAATTGTTTGCATAGTATAAACCATCCTACTAGTAAATATGATAAAGTAAAAATTTACGAATACTATAGCAACCTTCTTTTTAGAAGCTTTTCTTAAATAATAAAAGCTTTCGACTCTAAAGTTCTTTAACGCGAAAGAACACCGCTCTGAAATCACCCGCCGTCGGAACATGAAATGCAACATTTCTAGGCTAAATCGTAATACGAAAAACTATTCAAATAAATTAAAAATAAGATTATATTGATGCCCAAAATATAGTTTTTAAATAGTTATAAAAGTCTAAATCAAAAATAATAACTTTATTTTTTTTCTTGTTATTTATTACTTTTCGATAAAATTACATAAATTGGTCATCTCAATAGCACCATAATAGGTAATAATGATGAAGTTACATTATATACAGCTAGTAATTTAGCTATGTATATATTTATGTCATGTCAGTAGGCAATGGTATCCTTGTGTGTTATAGCATGTGTCACAATGATACATCGCTTGGAAACCGCTAACTCGATCCCTGTGCGGTTTGCTTTAATAGCTAGCATGATTATTTGTCCCTTCGTTATATTTTTAATTTAATTAATAAATTAATCGGTGTTAAGTAACGATTATCACTTATTAGAATAGTTTTACAAAAGAATACATTTTACTAAATTAATTAAATGTAATGTTACATCCAATAATATTAAGTTTATATCCGATATGTTTATTGAAACTAAATTAAACTTCAGTACTTCCCGTAAACGAAACATTTTTATTTGCTTTTATAAACATACCATGATCTGTTCCAAACAATATGCTAACGTTAACAACTTAATTTTATCATACATTCTGTTGTCAAATTTAAAAACATTTCAATAAATCTTTAAAGAACCGAAGCCGGGACTTCGCAATAATATTTGTGTTGAATTGATTTATAGAATGTGGTGATGTTATAATTTACGTTGTAACGCTTTAATGGGTGGCTGTATCTCGGAGGCGGGTTAGGACCGTCTTGGCTTAATATTTCAATGAGTACGACCACTTGGAGCCAAGCCAGTCGGACTGCAATGGTCCGGGCATCATTCATAGTTCGCAGCACGTGCGCCATCTAGACGTCTCCCCGCAAAATTGATTTCGAACCACGCAACATTGTTCTATATACCTAATGCCTTGCAGAGCCTAGATTCTTGTTAAGATCTAGCATACTGTGTGTAATTGGATAGACATGGCTTCCATCGCGACAGCTTTTATTTAATGAACAATGAGGGTAAGAAACCTGTATGTATGACTTTTCAATGACGAGTTTAGTTGTCCACAGACTGCATAGTTTTTAAAGAAAATATGTTTGAAGTGTTTGACTATAGATACACAAAAAAAAACACGTAAAAAGTATATAAGGGAATTTGAGACGAAAGAATGGAATCTGAAACTTAAAATTATCCATTTCCGTGTAGGATTTAATAACTAAAGTAGACCACTTGTGTATAAATGCAGATCTCCTTGATGTGTCAGAACTAACAAACGGACAGCTACCGAATCCTTGTGTAAAATGTTAAAATTCAAAACGCGCTGCAACAAAAAAGAAAAGTGAATCGAGTGGCGTCGCACACCGGCACGGCACGGGCGCGGCCGCGGCGCTACAAAGGTGATGAGCCAGTTATTTCAGTGACTCTGTTTATTTACAAAATATCACTCCGTTTGAAGGCGGACCATCAAAATGCCTCGTAAAGCTAAGGTAATACCATAAAAAGTCGTGTTGACGACCTCCGTAATTGAAAGCAGCTCTTTGTGACTAGCAGAGACAATGGACCAAAATCCTCGCGATGCCTCTATTGATTCCAAGTTACGGTATACGTCTCACTCTTTGACCAACAACCGCGAATTTGTCTAACTGTCAAACTATTAATGGCCTTGGCACAAAAAAACATGTCTATTTGATCGTGACAGCAATCCAGTAGACAGTAGATATAAATAGAAAAAGTATTTTGCTCGAATTACAATCGTCACATTTCAATTACTAAGAAGTAGGTTTTTTGCAATCTCCAGATCCGGAACTATTCAAGACCCGTAGCACGTGATTCCAAAAATAGCGACATTCATCTTCGTTATAAAACTTACCGCAATTACACTAAATAGTGTATTGTAGACTTTAGGTCTCTACCAGTGAGAAAGTTTATCCGGGACAAATTAACAATCAAATCTTTCCTTTATAAAATAGTATAGATGGGTTATAAATGTCTAAATTTAAAGATAATTGTGATGAAGATCAAGAATCAATGGTATAGACAAAAGAGTTGTCGAGTGGGTCGGAGTCAGGCGAGTTCGGCTCACTCGTAACCTGAGCCTCGTTTATCTGCCGTCGAGCAATTATTGAAGCGTGTAAAGGACCGTCCACCTATTATTGTATACGTTTTGTAATGCGGGCGATGCGTTCTTGAAAAAATATCGCATTTCCTAGCACCATTTTAATAGCCCATATAATGAGAATTCACACAAGATTATTATTTAATAAGATGCATGTGTTTATTAATTACGATTATAAATTACAATTCACAATTTATTCAAAATGCCAATTGTTACTACAAGATCAGTAGAGTCAATAAAGACTTTAGTTTTCCTTTCACAATACAAAAACATACTTCCGGTTTCAATTATTATTTTAATAAACAAAAGTTGAAACATAATAGATTAATAATGAAAACATTGATCGAATTTCTACGGTTTTAAATCACAAAAACATGTTGCATTGTAAATATAATCCGATCTCCTTCTCTACATTTCTGTCTGAATCATTAGAATCGTAATGCTGGAAACGTGTCAAAACTTATTAATACAACTCTCCGTGTGCGGTGAATGATTTCTTTTTTGTTAAATCCAACATCTTTTGTAACACTATCTTTAAAAGCATCGCTACAAATTACGACTTATAAACTTCGATAACAATAGTTTTAATACAACCTTTTTTTTAAATTGGATGATAAAAAGGATATCTGTTCCTATTCATTTATAAACAGGCCAGTTACAAAATGTTATTTTATAACATTAAATCTAAGTTATTTTTATGCGTTACGTTGAAAAGAAATTATGTCATGCCTTATAAACTTTTCACATTCCAAATTCCAAAAATTAATAAACGCTTTAATTTTATTTTAATTCCTAATCCATATAAAAATTAGTTATTAAGTAAGAAGAATATTGTATAAGCAGTTATATGTTTCCTATCTATTATTACTTGTACAATATTCATAAAATAAATTATTCATTTAATGCATTTACTTAAATAAAAAGAGATACATGACAATGTTTTGTTAGATGTACGTTGCAACTTGCAACACAGTTTGAATCATCAATTACTTTATTAGTCGGTGTGTGATTATCATCGACAATAACAAAAAAAACTATAGTTACGGAAACCTGTCTAAGTACGATCATCATAAACAAACAATAATTTAATGATAGGTTAGAAACGTTACGACTAATACCCTTTATAAAGTTAATGAGTTATGACTATTATTTAAATAAAACATAAAACAAAATGGCCGACATAACTGAAATGAAGCAACCGCACGTGAAAATATGATATCACCAGTTAAACGAACATGATTTCATAAAATCAAACATAAATATGACTCACGGGGCCAAAAGTCTCCCGCCCAAAATGTCCTCGATGACGAAAAGATAAATTTTCAAACACAAAATGACAATACGACAGAAAAATAAAGTTTACGTGTCCCGAGCGCGCCATTGCGCGGTGATTACTTTTTTAAAATCGCATCGGGAAAGGCACAAGCGACGTAGGCCTACTCGGATACTTGCACCGTAAGCTAACCCAAACAAACGATTCTTTTTTAATCTAACTTCAGCGTTTGTAAAAATTACTATTTAAATATTTAAACCTCGGCCGCTAATTAACAGAGATTTAACCCTTCCGTCGCCGCGGTCCGTCTGAATATTTAACCCGCTCGAAATATTTGGCGCGTATTAAAATGTGAAAAATTAATGTCGCGCCCTCCACGGCCGGCCGAGCTGTGCCGCGGTATCACTTCTGCCCGGAATAGCCCTTTCGCGAAATACACGCTAGCCCTTATTAAAAACAAACTTTGATTTAATCGCTAAAGTTTACAACTTTCTAACTGTAATTAATTCAAACAAACAAAATTACGCACTAAGGACTGGGTTAAATGCATAAAAAAAGTAACATAACAAATCACGCTCGCCTCTAATAGTTGTTCGATGATGAAAGTTGCAACACTCACTGTTTTTACAACTCAGTACTTTTTTGAACTAATAGAATTCCGAAGGAAAATATCAACAACATCACCTACCGTGTATTCTTAAATGGGAAAACAATTAGTATGCCTACAATTGAAAATGAGAAGAGGCAAATAAAAAGACATAACTGTCAAACTCAAATGGGTATACAAAAATAAGGGTATAAAAAATGAGGTCACTTTAAATAATGGGCACAGATGGTATAGGCACGGTATATGTGCGAGTTGTGAGGAAACGTACCTTGCGGTGGTGCAGTCGCGGTAGAGCACGTCGAAGTCCTTGCAGGAGAGCAGCTTGCAGCGGTTGACGCCGGGCTGGATGGCGCCGAGGCCGCGTAGGATGCGCACCTGCTCCACGTTGCACACCAGCGGCACAATGTCTAGCCGTTTCAGCTTGGTGTATACTGTGTGCAGCCCG